AACATTCAGCTATAAGCTGAATTAATGCTATTAATAAAGTGGGTGGCATTTTCATTTTCCTATGAATAAAGCTGTGTTCTATTGCTGTTTATATAACCAAATAAATTAATGTGTAAAAAGCTAATATTTTCCTAAATGCATTGATTAGTAACCAGGGCACATTAAATTGGTCCTCTATAATAGTACAGATCGTAAATGTAATTAACAAACACTGAAGTAAACAAAAATATAAATTATTCAGTAGGAATTTTTTCTATTAAGCCTTATGATTTATTACAATTTCTGTCCAGTTGGGAAGGAATTTGCCAATTAGTTCCAGGCATCAAACACTGAACATGCTAATCTCTAGTGAGTACTCTCCTATTAAACCGATTTTAATGAGCACACTTCATTGAAACTAGTCCCCTTAACTATTACTAAGAAAACATTTTGATTTTGAAATAATATTAAAATAAATTATACATCCATAACATATCTCCCAATATTGTGCTAAGGATTTTCAAAATGCTAATTTTATTCAGTCTGTTTTAAAGGAGACATCCACATACAGAATTAAATAGAATCTTTGTCACCTCGAGGGTGATGATTTTCCACGATTAATGGGGATTAGTAAGTGTAACGGCACCCCATAGGCATAAAAGGGTTAAACCGCCGTTTAGAAGATCTTCTCCTTCCAGAGACACAGGCAGCTACTGTATTATTATTATTATTATTATTGCCATTTATATAGCGCCAACAGATTCCATAGCACTTTACAATATTTTGAGAGGGGGGATGTAACAATAAATAGGACAATTACAAGAAAACTTACAGGAACAATAGGTTGAAGAGGTCCCTGCTCAAACGAGCTTACAGACTATAGGAGGTGGGGTATTAGAAACATTAGGACAGGAAATATCAAGTAGGAGTGAAGCAGAGCTGGAGGAGAGAGCAAAGCACTGTCCCATAGTAGAGAGCAGGAGACAGGTATGTAAGGTAGAGATTACTCTGGGAGGCCATAAGCTTTCCTGAAGAGATGGGTTTTAAGGCCCTTCTTAAATGATTGAAGACTAGGGGAGAGTCTGATGGCAGTAGGCAAGCTATTCCATAGGAGAGGAGCACTGTAGACACCAATCCACTGAACTGAAGAAGCATTTGAATGCTCTCAAACATACGAATACTGTAAACAGCCGAATAGGAAAAACCATACGAACAGGTTTACACTCCTAGCAGTCAAAATGGAACAGCATACAATAAATCCCCCCCAAGAACGAGACAAGGCTCCGTTTTGAGGGTCAAGCAGGAACAGACAGAGCTGTGGGTTTATTGTTCTTATATACACATTCTTACACATTAGTACCACCCACAGGGTTTTGGAAAACAACCAATAAACACGTACAATACACTCAGACACTCCCACACAAAATCCTCCCCTCTGCCTGTGATACAATTACCTTACACAATGGGTAATGTAATTATCACAGGCAGAGAAATACAGTTTTACCACATTATTCATAATTTTAAAAGTACGCATCACATTCACATAAAACTTACATTTTCATACTCCAAATACAAACGTAAGTCAAAATCATACAAATTGGTCCAGTGGTTCAAACGATAGATCGTAGTCCTTTGTAACCAAATGAAGCATGGCTTTTCTGCCCAAAACCGGTTCCACAGAGTCTTCTATCCTGGAGATAATTGGAAGTAATCCAATTATCTCCAAGGACAGAGGCAAAACTCCATTGAACACATGGCAGCAAAAGACAATAAAATGCATAAAAATATATAACCGTGCAGCCATTGCATAAAACAGGTACATTCAAGATATCCCCAGATAGCTCAGATCTGAGCGTACATTATTACTGAATAGCGCTCAGATCACACACATACAGTTCAATTGCCATGGATCCAAAGTCTTTCCCATAGTCTTTCATTATAGGAATGGGTTCCATGGCATAGCTATCTGGGATATCACCGCTCAAACAGGGCAAGCACCGAATGACCCGGCTTTCGTGTCTTTGCAGGGGAAATCAAGCGTTTCAACATGGGGCCATAGTCTAAAGGCAGCAGGCGGGCAACCTGGCTCCTCCAATGCACAGTGGCGAGATTGGTCTCGTTACAGTAAGAATTTGATTCTCATTGAGGAAACGAGTTCAGTGTTGCACAGTAACAAGTTGTTACTGGAGTTGTAGGTGTTGTTTAACAGTGTGCACTATAATACACTGTGAAAGATCTCTTGTACTTACCTGTGTGCCTTCAGTTATATCCTCTCCCTGCTGTTTAAATGCTTGTATTCAGTTCGTTTGATTATGTATGTGAAAACTTGTATTTGTCTACCGAACGAGAGACCACCTACCCTGGGTAGCAATCGGCATTAGAATAGGGAGAAAAACACAACTTAATTGCTCCTGGGTGGCCGCGATTCGACATACCAACACTAGTGATGTCGCGAACCCGAAATTTTCGGTTCGCGAACGGCGAACGCGAACTTCCGCAAATGTTCGCGAACCGGCGAACTGCCCGAAACGCCATTGACTTCAATGGGGAGGCGAATTTTAAAACACACAGGGACTCTTTCTGGCCACAATAGGGATGGAAAAGTTGTTTCAAGGGGACTAACACCTGGACTGTAGCATGCCGGAGGGGGATCCATGGCAAAACTCCCATGGAAAATTACACAGTTGATACAGAGTCTGGTTTAATCCATAAAGGGCAGAAATCACCTAACATTCCTAAATCACAATCAATATGGATTGACACCTGACATATGACATATTGACACCTTGACATATGGATTGACACCTGTCCTCAGAGCCCCTGATGCACACGGACACAGAGCAGAATAGAGACTGGTCCCCTACATAGGGTCACTTGGCAGATATGGATTGACACCTGTCCTAAGGATCCCTGATACACACTGACACAGAGCAGAATAGGGACTGTTCCCCCTACATCGGGTCACTTGGCAGATATGGATTGACACCTGTCCTAAGGTTCCCTGATACACACTGACACAGAGCAGAATAGGGACTGGTCCCCCTACATAGGGTCACTTGGTAGATATGGATTGACACCTTGTTACAAACTACTATTTGTAACGGGCCCTTTAAATGGCAAATTGCCCTGCTTCCCTGGGTTGTGGAGAAGCCTATTTGCCAGCCTCCTCCCGCATGACTATGGCCCTGGGAGATTGTGAAAATGTATGCACTTTTATTTGGTGTGTATGGCCCTTTAAGACTGTCGGTGGGCATATTGGGGCTTATGGACTCTTTATGTGACTGGTGCTGGCCCTTTAAACACCTTTTTTGGGACATCAGGAAGATTGGGACACTGCCCCTTTAAGGCCGTGTCCCAGACTTGTTGGGGACACGGCCCCTTTAAGACGGTGTCCCCTGTGTCCCCAGACCTGGTGCAAACCCTTTGTGCCTGCCTTGCTATTTCCCACTTGGTTCAGTAAATGGGAAATTATTTCAGCTGCAGAGACTAAGTCCCATTCGGCGATGGGACTTAGTCTTTTTTTCAGCCGTTGTTTTCAGCCTTATTTCAGCTGCAGAGACTAAGTCCCATTCGGCGATGGGACTTAGTCGTTTTTTCAGCCTGAAATATACCGACCTCACAGCCCAAATCTATGGAACTGTTTTGGGCAGGAAAATGTGCTTGCGGTCGGTCATAAAGGGACCTCCAGCTAGCTTTTTAACCCCTGGATGGATTTGGCTGATTTTTGGTTATGTTTATGTTTTAAGTGTACTACGATTCCAGCCAATGTAATTATGAAGATGGGATGTGTAGTTTTAAAGTTACAGGGTATGGCTAAAAACTGTATTTTACTGCCTGTGTTTAATTATATTTAATCTCTTCCCAAAGCGTCATTTACGTTCAAAGTGGAGAATGTTAAAAAAATATTTTTGTTCTGAGTGTGAGGGAATGCTTTTCAGCAGCTTCTAATCTTAAGCATCATTTGAGGAGCCATACAGGAGAGAAACCTTATTTGTGGTGTGTTTAGTATTGTTCTGATCAGTTTAATACCTTCCGCGTCTCCTATCAGTGGACGTGTATGGCAGCCATTTTAGGAACCGCACACCTGGGACCCAAGCAAGGTCACCTCGTTCAACAGGCGACAACATTTGTCCCTGGAAAACTATCCTGGACATTCTGTACAATTTGTATGGATATGGCAGTGATTTCTGTAACAGGGAGATGGAAGAAGATGCTTGGTCGGTCCTCTTAATTAAAATTTGGGGCACTGCGCGGTCAAGCTAATGTGCCACCAGATAGGAGGGGTGTGTTTAGTATTGTTCTGATCAGTTTAATACCTTCCGCGTCTCCTATCAGTGGTCGTGTACACGGCATTGATTTTTGTAACAGGGAGATGGAAGAAGAGGCTTGATCGGTCCTCTTACTGCAAATTTGGGGCACTGCGCGGTCAAGCTAATGTGACACCAGATAGGAGTGGAGTGTTTAGTACTATTTTTATCAGTTTAATACCT